TAGGGGGTTTAGGGGGTCTAGGGGGTTTAGGGTTTAGGGTTTCTAGTCCCCCTTAAGTATATAGAATATGGCTTTGGGTAGATTATAATAAGAACCCCATATACCCCATATTCCATTTACTTAAGGGGGACTATAACCCCAAAACTCTAAGCCCTAAACCCTAAGTAGTAGTTTCCATTCTCTTTTCCATTATCTCGATATAACCCCAATATAACCCTAATATTCTATCTACTTAAGGGGGACTATGAAGTACTACGGGGCTTATACTAACCCTATATGACGCATTATAGTAGTTTCCATTTTCTTCTCCGTTATCCCTATATAAACCCTATAAGACCCCTATGTACACCCTATAATCCCTAAACCCTAAACCCCTAAACCCCTAAAGCCCTAAACCCTATAATTATCCCCATATCACCCCAATATAACCTTACAATCCCTAAACCCCTAAACCCTAAACCCCTAAAGCCCTAAAGCCCTAACCCTATATAATTATCCCCATATCAACCCTAAACTAACCTTATTGGGGGTCCTGCCACTGAGGGCAAGACCTGAAGCTAATCGACTTTGGCCTCTCCAAATTCTGGCGGCCGGATAAGTCCATGGAGATGCGGGCCATTTTGCTGAGCAGTTTCAGAGTAGGGTGGGTTCGAGTTTTTGTTGGTGGGTTTAGGCATTTTTTGCGGGGTCTAAGGGGGTTTCGTGTTTGTGTGTTCCCAACATTTTAAGAGGAACTCCACTGCTGTGTTGGGCAGTCTGGTTGTTGTGATTATCGCCTGTGGAAGCAGAGATGAGCCGAGGTTTGGAGATGGCAGGAACATCTAAAGACCAGTCCTTTTGCCGGAACATGAGCTACAGTCTTAACTCCTCAAAGGGATATTCATAGGGGGATTGTATAGGGGAGTCTTATAGGGGTTACTAAGGGGGATACTAGGAGTGTAGACTATGGCTCACATGAGCCCATTTCTTGCTCCCAAGAGGTGGGGTTCAGAGACTTCGGCTTCATCTCGGTTGGGCATATGAGCCATAGTCTAAACTCCTTAAAGGGGGTTATATAGAGGACTATATAGGGGACTACTATAGGGTCTATTAAGGGGGATACTAGGAGTTTAGACTGCAGGTCATATGGCCCTAGGGTTGCTGAGCCGGTTGCTGGTCAGGGTGAGAGAATAGACTCTAGGCCTGTTGTGAGTTGCATTTTTTGGGGGATATTATAGTCCAAAAGACAATGGAAACTACTGTAGTAGATTGGGGTTATATGGGAAAATGGAAAAGAAAATGGACACTACTATAGTGTATGGGGGTTACCTGGGCTAAGACGAGACAGTAAGAGTATATAACATTATCCTCTCGGCTATGACAAGGAGAATGTCATCTTAATGGGTTCGACAGCCACCAGAATTTTTTCATGTAAAAGCCTAAATTATGACCACTCTTATCACCTTAAACTCCCTATATAATCACAATAGAATGTACACCCCAAGCCCTAAACCCTAAACCCTAACCCCAAACCCTATTCTAATTGGATAGGCCCCGGTGTTGCTCTCATGAGTTAAGGTTGGCACCCTGGACTACATGGCGCCCGAGGCTTTGGGAGTCTGGCTTATGACATGTAGTCATACCACGGGTACCGGCTGCCTTCTCGGCAATTGTCATAGGGATCGTAGAAAGGATGGCCGGGCAGACTTCATGTGGAGCGTAAGACGCAGGAGTGGAATCTATTGGAGTTTATACAAAATCTGGTGGCTCTTGGGGCTGTTATTCTGTATGCTTAGGTGAGGCGTGAGTGACTTTGTTAGGAAAGAAAAAGCCGTATACTTCTGCATACTGTTCGCTATAGCCTTTAAGCCCTAAACTGCTCCCAGCAGAAAACGCTTGATGCAGTTGGGTGCAGGGGATGCGAAGGCCAGGCTTAGACGAAGCTTCAGGGTTTAGGGCTTAGAGGGCTTAGGAATGAATAGAGGTAGGGCTCAGATATAAACCCTAAACCCTAAACCGCGTTTTAAAGGAGATACGTTTTGTGCAAACTGCCCATGAATATTGTTTCACAGTAAGAAAAAGTGCACTTTGACAGTTTCAGGGCCGAAAAGCTTTGATATGTAGCAGTGGTTCTACAGTCATCCAAGATTTGAGGTGTAGTTTGTTCCCCGCTTGTCAGAAGTTCCACAATGACACCACCGCCATTGGCATCATGTTGCAACTTGGTTTTCAACTTGAAGGACTGGGGCACTTTGGGAACCCCAAGCTCAAAAACTAGGACCCTATAACCATCCCATGATTAGAGTAGGCTCCTTTTCTGGGGCATTAAGATTGAAATTGACTTGTTTGTCAGGACTGGACTGAAGTCTGTAAAGGGCCGTGCTGGGGTTCCAATGTAAGTTTGAGTGGAAGATACTACCAAACACCCAAGTCTTGCACTGGGTGGCTCGCTCCTTGATTGCACGGGCAGGTGCTCCACAGAAACTACACTTCCAAGTGTGACTTGTGGAGTATGGGTGCCTGGCGCTCAGACTTCTTGAGGTCCTTCCTGGTTTTGCCCTGAAACCGGCTTGGAAGTCGGAGTGTGGACGGCACTCTTCGGCGCCCGAATTGCTGATGCAGCCTGAACATGTGCAGAGATTCCCATTCTGCGCAGTAAGCCTCAAACTCGCCGCTTGGAGTTTTGGGGGCGACTTAGCAGAACACATCTGCAATCTGATAGTAGTACTAGTAACAAAAATACAAGTAATGATAGAAATACTAATAGTAGCAGTAGTGATGGTAACAATAATAGTAGTAATGGTAGTAATGATAGTAATGATAGTAATGATAGTAATGGTAATGACAGTAATGATAGTAATCATGTGTAGGCTAAGCGCTATGCCCTCCCGAGGTCATCGCCTACACCTTGCTGGTTGGAAGCTTCCCTTTCTCTGGACGGGACGGTGACAGCGCGATGCTGCAGCGGATCTCTGCCGGGAGGTCGGGAAATAGATGCAGATGAGTGGGTTGCTGCTGAAGCATGGAATGAAGGGATGCTCAATATCGAGTAGGGTTTGTTTCCTGAAGCTCGCTTATCATTTCCAGGGGAGCATGGTCTCATCCGGCATGCCGGATCATCCCGAGGATCGGGAAAACTTACCAGTACACCGACCAGCTTTCGACCTTCTGAGACAGGTGTGACATTAGTTTTTGATAGAGCCGTGATCCCTGTCCACATCGTGGAATTGATTTCTGACCATGCTGGACCGCAGTGTTCCGCTCCAGGATGTGACCTGGAAAGACAGGAGCCCGCTACGCAAAAGACTGCTGACGAAAAGCTCTCAATGCTAGCCCCCTATCACAGATGAAGTTCCCCAGGCTTTGTGAGCCAGCAAGTAACTCTTTGAAGGCACTACATGATTTTGGAGTCAGGGCTGAACAAAGCATTTTTGAAGCCGCTGGGCGAATTTTTGGGTTCGGCCTGTGCAGGTTTGCCACTGAGCGTGAGTCGTGGAAAAATGCGTCGCCTTCGGCAAAGGACGGCCAGCAAGCATTGAGCGCTCTGTGGGTCTTCTGACAGTACGGGGTGACTTTTGCGATCCTTACGCTAGTGGCTTGTACTGTACGTGTATTACGGGGAACGGTCCCGTAAACCAGGACTCTCAGAGCTGGAGGAGTTGACAGCGTAGGTGTTTTTGTATGACGGCTTCGAGGGCACAGTATTGGCTCACAGACCTTGGATTCAGGCTTTATTACAGTATGGGATCTGCACTGTCGGGCCTTTTGGAATTGTTCACGTTTTTTTTTGAAGCATTCGCGCTTTGTGACACTAGACTTTTTGACGTTTGTACACCCTGGACATTAGAATAATAAAGCCTGCTACAGTAGCCGACAGCCAGCAGGAGTCGTGGTCTTCGATGGGGTAGCCCGTACGTAAAAGCATGAGAAACCGACTACCCGTGCTGTTGCTTACTGCAGCATCCGGCACCCGCAGTCCTTTGAACCCACCTTTAAACCCCTCCTCTCCACAGCACCAGCAGTTTTCCACATCTGGCTGAGCGAACATGTAATGGAAAGGGCGGGAGAGGACTCACTGCTGGTTAGTAGGGAATGTTGGAATAAAACCCCTCATCTAATCCCTATATGGTATATTGCTTTACTCCCTACCAGCCACCAGTAAGAGGATGTGTGATATTGTCAGGCCTCACTTGAGGTTGCAGCCCTCATGCCAGGCCAGGTCTGGTACATGGAGGGTTAGGAGGACTTGTACATGTAAGCCATGGTCTAAACTCCTAAAAGGGATTATAGAGAGTATCATGTAAGGGACTACTCTAGGGTTATTACGGGGGATACTAGGAGTTTAGACCATGGCTCATGTAAGTAGAAGTACCCCGACAGCTGCCTAATGTATGATTCTACTGTGGCCCGAACCTAGCAGCAGTGCAATCGATCCATTGGAGCTCCTGAAAAAGCCAAATAAGCCCTAAGCCCTAAACCCTAAACAGTTTTTTCCGTTTTCTTTTCCATTATCCCAATATGACCTCGATATAACCTCCAATATAACCCCAATATAGCCCCCAATATAACGCTAATATGACAAAGTGAGCTGTGAGGACTTTGTCAAGCAGCTGCTGACGGCCTCCTGGCCCGCAGTCAGTAGTTTCCATCTTATTTTCCATTCTCCCATGAGTATTATGATTGGGGATAATGGAAAATAGGATGGAAACCATTATAATGTGTTGTATATTGGGGTTATAACAGGGGATATATTGGGGATGATGGAAACTAATTTGGAAACTATAGGGGTTATAGTGATTATATTCGCAACAACAAGTTCCGCACGTAAGTGGACCCCGAGTCTTGATCCGGAAAGTGTTTGTCATTGTTGCGCCCCAGGGCTTTGCCAATTCTTCGTCAGTTGTGGCGACTTCAGAGCCCTTTTGCAAGAAGCTCACCCTAAACCCTATATAACCCATTACTTTGTAGTTTCCATTTTCTTTTCCATTATCCCTGTATTGCCCCAATAATATATACCCGATGATCCCTATGTAACACCTATATAACTCCTATAACCCCTGAAGCTTCTTCCCTTTGTAAGCTGATGAGATTTCGCAAGAAGAGGTGTTTCGGCTTTGGGGACCATGCGAGTGCAGCGTGTCGAGTGCGTACCCCCACCTCAGGTCAATGGTAGAGATCTTGCAGGATCTGGGGAAATACAGCTGTTGAACTTGTGTCAACAGCTTTGGCTACACCTGCTAGATCTTATCCGGCCCGCACAAACAACTCCCAAAATGCATCTTGCAACAACCTAACAGAATGAAAGGGCCAAATCCATCATTATGAGTCCAAAACCTTGTGCTCCACAACCTGAACTCTGTCTGCTCCAAGTCCCAGACCTTCAACTTTGATTAAAACGAGGGTCGTAGGTAGGTATTAGCACCCCCTGAAAGGGCAATCGTACCAGTTACTAAGTATGTACAGCTGCCTGCTAATTTGCCTGAATGTAACCCTATTTGGAGCGACCAAGACTCCTCGTAGATCCCATTTTCCTACAGATGTTTTCTTTCAAAGTAGAAGAGAACCCATCCATAATCCCTGCATAAATCCATTAAAATCCCCATATAATCCCCACAGAACTGTAACCCCTACCTGTGAGTCCGATAATTCACACCTAATTAGCAGGCACGCCCATCAAACTGTAGGTAATCCATACATACTCCCTACAAAGCTCCCATATAACCCAACATGTGCCCCACTCTGAACTCTAAACCCTAAACCCTAAATCCTAAACCCTAAGCCCTAAGCCCTAAATTTCCTTAAATCCCTCATTAGAACCCCGCCCGTTGAGGTCGAAGCACGAAGTCGGCCCGATGCAGACCAGGCTTTGGAGCATCTTGGCGGAGCTGCCATGTTCAGTTTCCCTTTTAAAGGGGTCATATTAGGGTTTAGGGTTTAGGGTTTAGGGAGCTATTGTCTAAATTCCTTAAGAGGGGTTATATAGTGGATTACATAGGGTTTAGGGCTTAGGGCTTAGGGTCTAAACTCTTTAAAGGAGGTTTATATAAGGGACTGTTATGGGGGTGATTAAGGGGGATACTAGGAGTTTAGACTAGCTCATATGTAGGGGTCACTAAGGGGTTGCTTAGAAGCTATAGAGAGGTTGATTTAGGGGTTCTATAGAGTGAATTTAGGGGTTGTAGGGGGTCATATAGGGGATAGGTGGGGCTTGGTTTGGGTCTGGGGATTTGAGGATAAGAGCTGTTTGGCTCACGGGTCAGGGGTTATTAGGGCGGCAGGTTTTTCAGTTTCAAAATCTGATTTGTTGGGTTGACGGGGGTTTTGCGGTGTACGGTTGTGGGCTTCAGGGTTGAGAGGCGCAGAACCCCCCTTGACACCGCTCTAGGGGTACACACACGCACATAGACATATACAGTTTAGACAGAGAGAGAGATAGAGAGAGATGGGGAGAGAGCGAGACGGAGAGGGAGAGCTCCTGCATTGTCCCAACCCCCTCGCTTTGCTCAGCAAGAATTCTGGGAAAATCCTCAGCTTCAGCATTACTGCGCTCCCCAATGAGGAGTGTCAGTCTTGTACGTTAAGTAAGACTTGACTTGACAGGCATCATAGGGAAAGTATGTGCCGGGATGAGGTCTGGGTTATGCGCGGATCATTTCAGCTGTTGTTTTTGGAAGCGTTGAACCCTAAACCCTAAACTCTAAACACTACATGCTGGGCACATGATACAGTAAGGCGTCTACAGATGAGGAGCTCCTATGAACCGTCCTCACTTTGCCTGAAAGCTCTCACTACTTTTGGTCACATAGGCGACCTTCATTTGCACAAAGAACTCATGAACCCAAAGCTCTATATAGGTTGGATTTTTTTTTATCCCAATTCGGACCTTAGCTTAGTCACCCTAATCATGAACCTCTCTGCACCCTACATAATAAGTCCCAGCAATGCATAAGTGTAGCAAGTAGAGGCTGTGGGGGGGGTTTACTCTTAGGAAGACATTGCATGCCCTGAAGCTCACTTAATCCCATGGGAGAAGCTAAAAAACAGAATTTCGTACCTAGTCCCTGGTACTATCATGGGAGCTGGCAAAGGACCAGCAATGTTTAGCCACCTAAACCCTAAACCCTAAACCCTAACCCCTAAACCCTCAAGCACCCGTGAGCCTGCAACCGAAAGCCTTCAAGCCAAGACTCCAAACTCTACACTCTCAAGCACTAAACCTCTAATGCAAAGCGCTAAAGCAAGCCCCAAACCCTTTTTGATATAGCTTCCATACATTAGGGGGGGCGCCCACATAGACCCCGAACTGATTTTATCCTTATTATGGGATCTCCGGAAAGGGATCCCCAATTTATTTCTTATGCAGAAGTTGTTGGAGCCCAGGCATCCTTGGATCGCTGAGCGTGAGTCCGTGGCCCGCAGTTATGTGAGCAAGGACTCCAGCATGCCTTTTTGTCACATGTAATGTAGACGCTTCGAAAAAATGGCCATCATTATTCACTTGAGCCATAGTCTAAACTCCTTAAAGGGGGGTTATACAGGGGATGATATAGGGACTACTATAGGGGTTATTAAGGGGGATACCAGGAGTTTAGACTATAGCTCACTTGGCATCCTTATGTTCTAGAGATCTGTGTGGTATATGTGGGGTAAGACGGAGGAGGTTGGAGAGGTGGGGCCACCATAAGGAGAAAGGGACGAGTCCTCCTGGTGGGGCGTTATGACCCTACTTATGACCAATCTGGAGAAACCGTAAGAGGGGTTTAGGGTTTAGGGTTTAGGGATCAGGGCCCTGATAGGTATTTGTGTTTTGCGAGATCTCCATGCTTGTAGCGTGCCCATAGGGATGTAAATCTACCGGATTTGGGCTTCAGAGATGTATAGCGAGGGATGCTGAGGGGCTTGTATGAGATTGATTTTCTTCAGTTGCTGACTTCAGATCAAACGTTCAGGCGTGTTTTGCCTGATCTGATCTGACAGACCAACCAGTTCTGACGGGGGCAGTCGCTTAGATTCTGAAGGATTTTTTCGGATAACAATGCGCGCTGCATTTTGAAACCTCAGTGAACGCAGTTGCACGAACCTCAATGTTGGTCACACAGTTTTATACATTTCCAGATGACGACTGGTGTTTGATTTGCTTCTATCTGCACTGTCACTGTCACACCAAGTCGA